GAGCTTTAAGCAATGTTAGAATATTACCTGGAGTTGTTTCATTCAGACATGTTTGAGTAAACCTTTATTATTAACCTGTCTACATCTCCACAGTTTTCAAGTTAACAGTTACCTTTTACCTTTTACCTTTAGTTCAGTAGAGCTAGGCAATTCCATATCTGATTAGCGACATCTCGTATATGTCTGAGTTTAAAAACACATTGCAGCACTTCTTTATTACTACATGACATCACAAGGTTTCTGTTTGAGAGGAGAACTCAGCCTAAATAAGCAGGGTTTGTGTGTTAAACATGTCTGAATGAAACAAAACACAACTCCAGGTATGTTTGAAATAAGGAATCAATGCTAGAACATAGATCAGAAAAGCCTGATATGGGCCCTTTAAATATAATGTCTTGACCAGATGTCTCTCATGTGGTAAACAAGTTCAGTAAGGTACACATAGTCCTATTACATGAACTGGTATATCATTCTTTTCCATACATACAGAACAATTGTGTAATGCTTTTCAAATGGGCTGATGAGATGTTTAATTAGCGTAACCTCACCACTTGTTTTGGCTGCAGTTCAAAATCACAGAGAAACACTCAGTGCCCCCGACCACCTCAGTTTAATAATTTCCCATATGCTCCAAGGCCAACAGGATGGCTGAGGGTGTGTGATAAGATAACAAGAAGAGAATCCTGTCAGTTTTGTGGGGCCAGTTTATTTGAACCTGACAGACAGCAAAATATACACCGGACAGACACATTTGAGCAGATGGAAAAGTCAACAGGGAATTTTTGCTTTTTCTAAAGAATTTGAGCTTGTGTAAAAATAAACGCACATGTATAAGAATAACATTAGTGATTGTTTGAGGAGCCCACACTGTACTTGCATGTGACAATATGTGTAAAAAGGTCATGTGAACAAATACACAGGGACATGCACTCAAATGGACTCAGTGGATCATTATTCAGATTAAAAAAAAAGTTATTACATCTTTATCAAAATCAGAATAGAAACTAGAGTCATGCCCAAGCTATCAATAGGTTATGTGCTTATGTAACTTCAATCAGTGGGTCATTCGCAATTCAATATTTGGCCCAAACTCTGTTAGAGCAGTAACGCTAAAGGGAAAATCTGTGACTCCCTTTTAAGAACTAATGAATGGATTTCCAGCAGTGAAGGGTGTGCAGTGGTGCTGCTCAGAATTTATATTATTTTTTTTATGTGAAATCAAAAGGTCACAGTGATAAGGAATCACAGAAAATAGAAGTTTTTAACATATGTTATCCAAATTCATGTTGAGTATTTGCCTTGCCTAGAATAACTTGTTTTTGGCTCCTGTATCTTGTTTTGAAAATGTTATTACTTGTTATCTTTCTTGTTTTAATATTTTGAACAGACTGTAGACATTAAAGTGCAAAGTGACATCTGGTAAAATTCAACAATTGCACAGTGTACCTTTTGAATTGCCCCCCTGTGGATAAAATATCATTAAGTTGAAACAAACAAACAAACAAAAAAGGACACCATACTGCATTATTTATAGAGTTATTATTATAATAATTTACTTATTTCAAAATCAGCTATCCTCATCTTAAAGGTGCACTGTGTAACTTTTTGTCCATTTGGTCTGATACCTACTTGACTGTGAGCAGCGTTGCCTCTTCACAGATCTGACCTGTAACTCGGTCTGGTTTAATCTCCTTGAAGATAAAAAGGTTTAATGACATACTGTGAAACATTCCAGACAAAGTAATAACATCTTCATGAAGAAAAGTTACACCATGCACCTTTAAAGCTGTCAGATTTGTTCGCTTTTTTTTTTTCTACCAGCAGATGGCAGATGTGAAACCTGTTCCTCCCTCCCTGGTAGCTTTAATTTGAAAGTATGTAAATTACATGACACCAACAATTTTGACAAATGAAGTAGTGCTCTCACTAAAGTTTAGCTTGGCCACTCTCCCACATGTGGACTAAAATAGTTCCAGATGCTCTGTGTCACAAACAATCCCATAATAAACATAAACACAGAATTATGGCCAGAGCCGTGGTAGGTTTGTGGACCATTCAATGTGACACAGATTTTTCAGTACCATGTGACCTTTGACCGCGTAGGTAAATGTGAGGATTACTGTCACTGAGACCACCGTGGACACTTTTTGTGGTCTCTGTCAGATCGGTCCTTAAACTTAATCCCAAAAACTTTTAAAATTCCTGAACTAAAATAGGATTTAAGTCTAAGAGGTTTTAGGTCGTCTGCTTCTCTCTCAGTATGTGGCCTCTATTTTTTTCATGCCGTACTCCACTTCTGTCTATCTCCTCTTTTGCCACAAAGTCCACAGGATATTTCAAAATGACTGGTAATGGTAAAGGGCCCAAATTGCACTGTTTTTGGATCTATGTTATAATCTTGCTTCCCCATCAAAACATTACCAGGAGTTGTTTTGTTTCTTTCACACACACACTTAACCCACAAACCCTGAATATTTAGGCTAAGTTCTTCTGTCAAACTGAAAACACTTACTTTATAACAACTATCAATTTTGTATTTGGATATCAAATTCTATTTTTGTGTAATAACTAAATTATTCTGCCCTGCCCACTTTTGTCTATTAAACCACACTTTCTTGTGGTGGCACTTCCGGTTAAACAATAATCCCATTCATGTCAATGGAGAATTTGAGAAAAGTTTTGCCGATTAAACCTGATATGAAGTACGTTCATTTGTGTAAAATCTTCAGTGTTCTTGTGCACCAACAAATCCACACTGCACTGATAGAATTTAAAACAGCTTCATAGTCCATATTGAATTTATTTGCTGTTATGATCGACAGTCCCCTGCAAACTAATACATCCTGAATGATAATGTTGGTGCCTACAGCAACTTCCAGAATAAAGTGAATAGGCCACATGCATACAGCATGTGTTTCAGGGGTGTCCAGAGTTTGTGTATTAAACGTGTGAATGAAAGAAAACTCCAGGTATATTCTTGATGTGAAAAGAAATTATTACATAAATTAGAAAAAGTGTGACATATAGGTGCTTAAATATAGGCCAACATAATTTCCTTGGCCCTCTTATAAACCTCTGCAGCTGCCAAGCTACAGTTGACACACTTTTTTTCTGAAAACCGACAGTTGATCTAAATGTAAATCTTATAATCTCTGGTGCCTCTCTTCAACATGCTGTGGGTTGTTGTGACAGTTTTTTTTATATATGAAGTAGAGTGTGGAAACAAAAATGACTTCTGATCAGTGCCATTTTACTCAAAATATTCACATTTTCTTCTGAAGTGTGAACTCAGTTCACATCACATGCTTTTACTGACAAGTAGATTAGCTGCTGATCTGTCAGTTAAAACTCCCAAGCAGATTATTGGCAATTTAAAATGACTGGATCCAGATGTCATTAAAATTCAGTTAATTGCCTTACCCCATAGTGAACATACTTAATGAAAGTGAAAGTTTGTCTTCATCCATTGTCTCATGTATTGCCAAGTGTTAATCCCAATTTAATGGTACACTATGTAACTTTTCTGGTTGAGGGTCTGCCATCTGCTTGTCTCCATGGAGATATTATTGGTTTGCCTTTTGCCACAGTATGAAAATAGACTTGGTAATCATAATGGAAAAAGGTTAATTGTCAGATCTATGGAGAAGCAAGCCTGCACATGTTAAGAATTCATGTTTTTAAGGCAGGTGCTCTACTGTGGAACATTCCAGGCAAAAAAATAACATCTGCATGGAGACAAGCGGACCCTCCACCTTAGAATTTACATAATGTATCTTTTAGCCTTCTGAGATTCCAAGACTTTTCTAATAGTGGGTACCCTACACAAACAGAGCTGAGACACACCAGCCTCTCAGTCCTTTTCCTCGACTCAGCTCCTCCTTGTGGGCTCAGGGCTGGCAGGCAGAGGAAGCAGGCTGGTGCTTCTTTGCTCATGGGCCCGCTTCAAAACCACAGAGGTCTTTTTATAGACCAGGGAGCGAGGCTGGGTGTGCATGTAGGAGTACAAATGTAGGAACAGAGCCGTAAACAGTACACTGGCTAGACTTGTGGACCACAAAAACAACTCAGACAGTGACATAGTGGCCACATGTTTTGATCGAGCACATCTCCTTCAATTTCCACCATTTCAAAAAAGCTCTTCAGTTGGCGAGTTCTGTGCTTCTGTTTATCTTAGACTGAAAGCAATGGTGCACGCCATTGCATAAATGTCCAATTATTACTAGCTCCCCTTAAGCACATTCTCTACTTTGTCCTTGTCTGTGCAGTTCTTGGTGTCCGTCAGTGTAGTGGACACGAAAAATAATGTTGATAAAATGACTTAAAGGTGCATTGTGTAACGTTTCTGGTGGAGGGTCAGTCAAAAGGTTTCTCCATGTTTTTGCTTTGTCTGGAATGTTTCACAGAATGGCATTAAACCTCTCTGTCATCATGGAGACCAAACCAGACCAAGTTACAAGTCAGATCTGTGGCGAGGCGACCCAGAATACCCCAGAATACCTGAATATAGTCAGAATAACTGTTTGCCAAGGTATTTTTAAGATATAAAACGACCTGTAATTGAATAAATGTAAGGTAGAGCTGTTTAATGTCATACAGTGTAACATTCCAGGCAGAGCAGTTACATATCCATAGAAACAAAAAGTTACATAGTGCACCTTCAATAATAACATATTTGTGTGAAAAAGTGGCTGTCAAAATAAGCATACTATACTGCTTGTGCTATTTGCCATTACCATTATTATGAATACACAATCACAATTCATTCAAACACATTTACTATTGTGTACGGCTACTCTTTTTGTTTTAGTTGTGTTCTGTTTAAGCTCAATATTTTACTTCTCGTTGGCAGTTCAGTTTCCGTGGTCAATGCAAAAACGCTGCTATGTCATAATTTTAGATACGGTCATTTGTATTTCATCAGCAAAACGCCTCCTTCTGCCCGCGTGTGGTCTTCAAAAACAGGAACTCATGACTTAGAGGAAAATCTGGCTAAAAAAAATAAAAACATATTCTAAACTAACTTTGCGCATGTGGTAGCCCAGTTTGTCTGTAGAGATGGAGTAGAGTCTTAAGACTCTAACTCCTCCCCCGACGTCCTGTGTATTCCCCGGTCTCTCAGTCAGGGCTCACTCACAACAAAGCGTCGCTATACAGGTAAGACCACCGCACTATCGCTCATGCTTTACGGGCTTAACTTCACTTATACTTTAAATCATTTGAGTGACTGACCCACTTTTGTCGGCTATATTAGTCCTGTCCATACACGCAGTGGCGCGCTAGAAGGCGCCCTTTTTGATATCGCAGTTTCCGTCAAGTCTACCCCCGTGTGAATTGACTGTGTTTTTTTTTTAGTGTACACTAAACCAAGTAGCCAATGCTATTTTTTACTCGGTATGAATGTTTTGGTGAAGTCGTGAGTTGAGAATCCAGAACGCCTGAAGGTTGTTTCTCTTTGCTTCTCAAAAATGAACCGCGAAATTCAAGCGTGCTGTAGCCGGGAAGCTTCACGTGGTTGTGCCAGCACAATAACGCATTGGCCAATTGTCACGCGCTGTAGCGGCACATTTCATTTACCGTGCGGCTGAATTTGTTCTTTTAGGACAAAACACCGAGCCTCTCAATGTATAGGCTGGTCAAATTAGTTTAAAAGTTTTTACATTTTGTCCTAGTAAAACTGAATAACACGCGGTAGATGAAGCGCATGACTAAGTGTGTGAAGCACGCGTGTCTCTCTGTGTGTGTGTACCGGGTCCGAGGGCGTCATGGGACTGTCCTATTGAAGGGAGTGAGTCAGTGATGAGCCAAAAGGAAGTGTGTTTTTTTGACTATTTTACGACTTTACTGAGCACGTGGAGTTGGCTCGTGTAAATTAGCATCTTTATGAGCCAACTTTTCCTCGTACTTTTCATTAGCGTTGTGAAAGGGGCAGTATCTTACCATGTAGCCTATTACGAGGTAATAAAAGTGTATTTGATGTTTTATGTGTGTGATACGACGCAGTTGGCATCTTTATACGGTCAATGGCAGTTGGTGACTGTCTGACCCAGAGCGTGAAGAAGAGCAGAATGGAGGCGTTGTATTTGGATGGACAGCTGATATAGCGGCCCCATGAGAGCACATGCATCTGTCTTGTCCAGCCACAAATACATCCACACCTGTTTTTGGCAACCATAATGTAAATGCACTGTATAGGATGATAATTTGTTTTTACATTTCAATAATTAAATTCATTTGAAAGTTGTATTTTAAATTACATTTTGTCAACAGGTTTACTCACATTTACGTTTATCCCAATCACTTGTGACCACTGAAAGCAAGCGTGTGTGGAGAAGGCTTTGTTGTGTGGTTAAACGGCGGGAAACAGATTGGGGGGATAAAGGCGGGGGTCAATAAGGGGGACAATAGACCTGACCCTTCCCTCTGTTTCGATGGGTGAACTCTCACGGCAGGATACTCCCTCTGGACTCACCTTGATGTCTACTCATTAGAGCCACACAAAAGACCACCTTCCCCTGTATTTGACTTTTTCCTGCTCTGATTTTGATTATCCTTACCAGACCCCTGTTCAGACACAGAATGGAAGTGAAACAATAGGCTTAATTATTAAAGTGCTCTACGGTTTACTGTGAACAGAATGTGCTCAGGTCATTCATTATAATTAAGTTGTTGATCAAAAATGCCACAGGCCACTAAGTCTGTGAAAAATACTGAATATCAGATATGAAAGTCACATTCACAGGACAGATATAAAGCATTTCTGAATAGCTTTAGAATGATCTGGAGCTGTATCAGAACACTTATATAGACCACATATACACCCACAGACCACAATGGAAAATACCTGGACAACTGAGAGATTACACAAATATAACACCACATAGTAATAGAAAAGAAAGTACTACTACGATGACATTCTGTTGTCTGAATCAGTATTGGTATTGAGTCGATGCCTTAGTATTGAAATTGAGTTTGAACTTTTAGTAGCGTGACCGACCACACTACAGGCCACTCTAGTATGATTTTTTTAATGGAAACCTAGCATTTACTTTTGCATAACCAATTTCTGCAGAACTACTGTGGTGTATCTCTGTCCACTGTGGTCTTGGTGTGATAGTTTTAAGAATAGTTGTTTTTGTATGTTGTTTCTTGCTGTTGGACCTGTTTGTTGCTGTTGTTTAATCAAAAGTCTGTGATGGAAAATTGAGAGTTGTTTTTATTTGGTGCTATGGTCACCATCTGTAACTAAAAGTGTATTGTGTTGATTGCCAAATAGTAGCGAGGCACTGCATAGCCAAACGTTGAGCTAGTGCAGGTTTGTTGATTAATGTGCTATATTATATGTATTATAACAGAACATGGTACGGCCTCTTCTATGAATGCGACCAATAATAAAAATATCTAAAAACTCAGCAAAAAGAGTTGATTAAAAATAAAAATGCACCAAACTTGTGTGGAAAAAGTAGTTTCATACTAGTTAGTTGATACTTCAACTGATTAAAATACAAGTTTATTAGGCCTACATTTTTCTTGGACTTATTTTATCCAATAAATAATATATAGATTTTTGTCAGTATCACCCACCCCTACCTCAGTCTTCTGTAACCGGTAAAATATTTAGAAGAGGCAGAACAGCCAAACTGTGGCTGTGACTGTGTACCCATGATAAATATTGACCCTGGAAAATTAGAAATTAAAATGATATTATAAGTTGCTATAGTAATTATCATGACCGGCCTAGGTTGGTTTGAGTTGTGCTGATTTGAGCTGAATAAGGGAGTGCACAATTAGAGGAACAAACATTTGCAGCGCAATATAACTGTATAGCTTTATTCATGGTTGGATGCACTGCTGGATAGATGCAAGGCTCTGAGGGTTGAGCAAGATGGTGCCGTGAGAGGGTCATTTTCAGCCGTGTGTGAAATTGAAAACCTGGTTGTGAACTGACATGAAGCATAATTATTACTGTATGCCATAACTGCCCATACGCACATAAAAACACACACACATGCACGCACACACGCATCTATGTTGTGGTCCATGTGACAGTTAGAGGAGCACACAGTCAACAGGAAATTCAAGTTTAAAGAAAGACTGTGTTTGGTCATGCATGCCTGTAATTTATTTAGCTTTAATTCTACATTCCGGAATCATTTCCCCTGTTTGATTTGCATCTTGGGAATTTAGTGAATGAGAGCATTTTCATGGATCACATGGTCTGCATCCCAAAGCTTTACAGTAACTGAGACAGAAATAAAATGCCCTTAAACATAAAATAAAAGCCATTCCAACATCCTCTCAGCTATTCCTAGATCATTAAAGTGCCTTGCTCAAGGATACAATTCACGGTTTCAATCTTTGAGCCTCTACATGTAAAACTGACCGCTTAAAATGCTAGTATTCACCATACATATCAATGTTTATTATTGAATGCACTTTGAATTTGTTTACACTGTGAATTTGTGCCATGCCTATTGCAAAGAAATATAGTGTTAAGGATAACCAAAGAAAAGAAAAAAAGAAGAAATATGTACTCAAATACACATTCAAGTAGTCTTATGTGTTTGAAAATCTACTCAATTCCTGTAATGTTAATATTTGTAATTAGCTACTTTTCACCTGTGTCTATATGCAACCTACACCAGCTACATTAGCTACATGTCTGCTCAGTATTGACCTGTACAATTTACTTTTGAACTATAATAAGTCAGAATTAATTTACTTAACTCGTTTGTTAGTTGTTGGGAAGAATAGTTTGAAAATGTATTTAGTTACAGAATTTCTGCAGTAAAATGTATTTTGTAACATACTCTGCTACATGGTCCAATCAGAGTATTGTATTCTGAATACTTTTACATCAAGTTGCATTGAAATTATAATGTTAAGACAGAACATCGTATTAAACCATTTTTTGTTTGTTACACTGTTGGTTAAGCATTTCCTGGCACTAATTTAGAGAAGTTAAAATCATGCTTGCACTCTTCACAAGCTCTATCTATTCTCTGTTATCTGTTATCTATTTTACCCACCAATACTGTGGAGTTTGAAGCCTACATTCGTGATCAAGTACTACGATGTATCCCTTTGATTTCAGGAAAGTAACTGTATTCTGAATACCACCAAATGAAAAAGTAACTATACCAAAATACTAGTGACTCAAATTACTACTCACAATACATAGTTATTTCCCATACTGCACAAGTCATTACTAAGTTCAAGTCCAGATACTGTGTGGGTCACGCTGAGTGGACAAAGAGTTAATTCTGTACCAAACTGAAGTGGTATAGCCCTCCCAGACTGCAAAGTGCGACTGAGTGCCACAAGAGGTGCCAGCTGGCTCCTTGTTGTATTTACAGTCTCTTCACATAATCTTAATCTTAATTTAGATTACATTATAAAGTTACTGTGTAGCTAGGTTTCACTTCTTACATAAAGAGGTGAGCTGGACAGTTTTCTGCTGATTGGGATGAAAAAGGTCATGTTTAAAGTTGAGACAGAAGTGTGTCAAAGGTTTTAGAGAAATCCCATTCCCATTTACTGCCAACTCAGTCCTTGTTATTTTAGTGTGTGATCAGAGGTATAATACTCCCTACAATGGAAGCATAGCCAGACAGGGAAGACTAGACTGGAAAGAACAACCCTACCACCATGTCTTCAGGTGCTGGGTCCTGTTATTATTAGGGGTGTGCAAAAATATTGAAATATCGATATATCGTATTGCCTAATGTGATGATACAGTGTCTATATCGTGGGCTGCTGTATCGATATATTGCCAAGAGTATTTTTTGGTATATTTTGCTTAGTTATTTTGTTACAGCGCTTCAGTTTTGTTGCTTGTTTAGTGGAAGAAAACTCGTTCATGCAACACATTTGACATTTTCACTGTTTTGATGAGTAAAATGGGTGTGTCTCATATTAACTTTGCCCAAGAAGTGGTTTAACAAAGACTTTTAGTATCATATTCGTTATTTAGCCATTATTTTTATTGAACGGTTTCGAATTGATTTGAAATACATCGTACTGAATCAAAAGTGTCCTGTATCGAGATATGTATTGTATTGTGGCCTATGTATTGTAATGATACCCAGCCCTAGTTATGATAGTCAGTAAATGTCTTCTGTGTTAGAAGTTATTCTCGATACTAGATTCATGGCTGATGATACGATATTATCACGATACATGTGGTAATCAATATATTGCACTGGATATATTGCTATTGTTAAAGAATCAAACACATTTTAGCATCAGCAGCATTTCTTTGTTAAACCACTGCTTGTGCAAAGTGAATATGAAATACACCAATTTTAATCATCAAAACAGTGAATACGTCAAGTGTATTGCAAAAAGTTTCCTTCTTCTAAATAAGCAACAAATTTATAGTGTAGTGGTGACAAAGGAAACCTGCTAAAAGACACCAAAATTACCCTTGGAGATAAATGAGCCTACAATACTGTATCACCAAATTTAGAATCACTATATTTTTGCACATCCCTAGTAATGCTACAGAAAAAGAAGTACATACCCCCAGTGTAGAGACTGGTTTGGTTGCATGCTAATGAAGATGATGAACCCTGTTGGGATTATTTGGTTCTAATTCAGTGCTCTTTTCCTGTAAAAGATCAGTTGAGTTTGTTCAACTGGGCAAAGGGCATCTTATCTTATCTTTTGTCATGACTTTTGTTAAATCTCAGATATTTTCACTTTTTAGCGTATTGACTATTAGCCTTAAATCTCCAGCAAAGCAGACGTTATGTTTTATCTGACCTGCTGCCTGTAGAGTACACACAAATCACTTCAACGTAAAAAGATAATAGAACTAAATGTGACGACAGCTCTCTTAAAACTGCAGAATTTTAGGAAAAGGTATTGGCCATGAAAAAAAAAACATATCGATCGATCTCTACTTATGATCATCATTGGAGGTTCATGTTGTTTAGAGTTGTTCTCACTGTGTAATTTCATACAGCTTCTCTGACAGTCCATCAGCATACAGAGGTCTTGCTTAATAATGCTGTGTGGTTCAGATAGTGCGTCCTCTGTCCTCTCCTCTTTCCATCTGTCAGTGTTGAACGGAAATTAATGATTTTTTCCTCTTGTGAATGGTGCTTGAAATGGACATGCTTTATACAGATGCATTTAAAAGGTTATGTTTGGCTACAACATGAGCTTTTCAGATTTGTTATGAACCTGAATCAACTTTATAACATGTTTTCTTTGAAAGCATGCCAAATTATTTCGTTTAAAGAGGAAATGTTTTAAAAGACTCCATGTTTTGGACTTAATCAACGCAAACATATACTTTGGAGTTTAAATAAACAATATGGTATGGTATGGATTATTTTTTGGATCCGATATAGTACAGATAAAAAGGGCTTTGGAGGTGCCGATAGCCAATATAACAGTCGATACATTTAGTTATAAAATCATTGTAAATCTTCATCTGATTTTAAAACTTAAGTTTGACTCCATAAGATTTTAAATAGGATTTATTAAAGCTACCTTTATTGTTATTCTGCCTCTACGAGATAGTAGGTAGGCCTAATGGCATTTTTAAATTACATTCTAGCCAGTGAACAAATTAAGTAAACCACCGCTTAGTCTTTAGCAGTTCATATGCATGACAAAGTAATTAATTATATGCGTAAATGTGCACTATTCACACCTCTATCCAGAGCTCATTCACATATCAATGCATGTCCAGTAAGGTGTGTATACAGCCACTGTAGTCACTTTACAGTAAGCCAAGATATATAAACACAGTATTTTGCAGCAATGCTAACTAATGACTTAAAACAAAAGTAGATTTAAAACCGGCACATTTGCAACACTCACCGCTGATACAGACACCTCTCAGAACAGAAGACTTCACAAATAAGTGTCCTTTTAATCCTGACTCAAAACGATCGTCCATAAAAATAATATCATCCAGCATGTTGAGAGCAGCTGCATGTGTCCTCTGTCTATGGAACAGTCTTCTCTTCTCTGCACTCGCACTTTGATAAAAAACAAGCTGTAGTTTTGTTGCTGGCATAAACTGCGCTGACGTTCACTTTTATTTATAGTCAATAGTCACAAGGCCATTTAAAGCCAGCATCGCAGTGCTGTCTCCAAGTGGATGCTGAGATTGCACTGCTTGGTGTAAACAAGAGCACGTGTGTGATGTGACGTGACTCAGGTGCAGTAGGGCGTCACAGAGAGAGTCTAATCTTAATACAAGAGGTATAACTTGCCCAGGTGGACTATCGGCTAGATTTCATTGTTTTCAAGTGCCCATATCGGTCAGGCCCTAGTAAAAAGTATGCCTAGAATTAGTTTTCTGTGTAAATTGTTTTATGATGCAGTAACTCAAGGGGATCAAATTGCTACATCTGCCTCCCCTGCAATGGCAACCACTACATCTACCACTTCTGCTGTTTCTGTTTGTTAAACAACCACTACCTATTTCAAACTCCTTCTGTGTATCAAAAATGAAAAAAAAAAAAAAGTACAGTTGCAAGAAATATTGAAGACAGTGGTGCATGAAATCAACAGGCAGCTCAGGTTAAATGAGGGTGGAACTAGATCAAGAATGGTCAGACATAAAATGATGTAAAATAGAAAAAGGATACAGCTGTAACAGGGATGCACCGTGCTTTTCTCCATGGAAATGTTAAATGTTATTGTGTTGTCTGAAATGTTTTCATGGTATGGTATTAAAACTTTTTGACAGGTCAGATCTATGGAGAGGCAATTCCGCTCACAGTCAGAATGCCTGTTTTTTTTGGTGTTTTTTTGTGTTATATACTTTAGAGCTGTAAAACCGCCTGTAATTGAATAAATGTAAGGCAGAGCTATTTAATATCATACTGTAGAACATTCCAGGCAGAGCAATAATACATCCATTGAAACAAGCAGATGACAGATGACGGACCCTTCACCAGAAAAATTACATAAGGCACCTTTAAGTATCTGCCAATACCCGATATCAACCAACACCATTGCAGAGACTGAAAACAGCATAAATTTCCTTAAAACATAATTAAAATAAGACAGAGGTGATCCAAATGCGCTATGTAGCGGTTATCTATCCCTCAAGTAACTACTGAACAAACTTGCAAAATAAAACTTTCTGAGCTGACTGCAACCATTAAATAGTCTTAATACATAAATTTATGTGTCCAAACAGGATATTCACTGAACCGATATTTGGAAGCTGATATTCGATCCAGCAAATTTCTCATCCCTAGAAACATAGTATGAGCAGTCCAGGCTGTTATGTAACACGTGAGGAAAAATGTACTGTCCAGAGGAAAAGGGAAAGTTTAGGGAGAGGGCAGGAGGGAAGGGCGTAGAGAGGAGCAGAGAGGGGCTGGGTCCATAAGAGCTATTCCTAATGCTGCTGCTATAAAGAAGATCTGCAGAGTTTAGGGTGTCCTCTTGTAGCCCTGCAACTCAAAGGACCAGCTACTCCCCTCCTGTGATGTAAGTCAGTGAATCTTTGTCATGTTAAGACTGAAGTTGTAACTTTATTATGTGGAGTTATGAAATTTTTGCTTTCTGTGTTCTGTGAGAATGTTTTTTTTTGCATTTATTCTTTTCCTTATATATTTTTTATGATGTATAGTGCTTGAAAATTGCCATTGCTGGCTTAATTTTATCGCAGTAATGAACTAAGAACTATGGTTAATTTGAGTGAAAATCCAGATAGCTGTTTAGATTCAGTTTTTAATTCTGTTTTGATTCTGTGTGAGCTGTTACTTTGAGAATCTGTTTATGCATTTATTGTTAATTGATAGTGAGGAATATTGGTTCTGTGGGTTGATATAGAAAAATCATTAAATCAAGTCTGAGTTGTATATTTTCTGCAAATGCCTTGTTAGAGGTAGTGAGTCTCTCCTGAATGGATGCATTATTTATGTATTTATTTATTTATTTTAATTTTGTAAATTGCTGAACATTGACCCCTTTTTCTTTGCCCAGTCCATATGATCTCTATTAAAATGTTTTTGTAGCTTTACACCTCTCAACACACCAGTTAATTTTTACCTTGGTAATGACTTCACATGGCATTTTAATTGTAATATGTTAATGACTAATAGAAAGCATGTGTCTAGATGTGTACGTTGTGTAATTTGTGCAGTTACAGAGTTGTAAACATGTGGTGGCTATCTGTGTACTTCAGACCTGGGGCCACCCTGATAAGACCTGATTTGAACAGGACCCAGAACCACCGCAGCAGCAGCAGCTATGACGGCGGACAACGCACCACGAGACAAGTACGCATTATAAAACTACTGTTAGTTACTTTATTCTGTTGAAGTATGCACTTACATCTTTGGCATCAATTATTTCCTTGCAGGTACAACGCAGTTTGGCTTATCTTCTTCATCCTCGGCTTGGGAACTCTCCTGCCATGGAATTTCTTCATGACAGCATCAGCAGTGAGTTCAGTCTTCTTTCAATTATCCTAATCAAGTTTAATCCTTTAAAAAGCAGTAGAAGTCAAAAGGTAATCCCTAAAACAACACGAGGATGTAGGTGGAACAAAGGTGCTTCTGTGGGCAGTGGTCACTTGATTAAAAGGTTATGGCCCTGGTTTAGGGTCAGCCCCATCTCGTTCGTATTATTTGTTTTGTTTTCCTGGAGCCCCACCTGGTCCTGCTCAGATAGCTGACTCCAGTGCACCCAGGTGGAGGGAAATACAACCTCAAATCCATGTTCATTGTCTTGAGGCTTTAAGGGTTAACATGCTGCACTGAGAGGAGTGAACATTCACCTGCCCTTAATGCTGTTTTTATTTATTATTACTAAAACATGCTTCATATGTTTTTTTCTTTAAATTTATTGAAGTCTAATTTTAGCATTCAAATATTTTTAACACAACAGACAGCATTTGTTTACTGAATCTATGAAATCTTTCACCTTTTAGGTAGGGATGCACAATATATTGCAAAAGTATTGATAATGCAATATTAGCTGATATTATAATCAATTTGGCAACAAACTCATTGTTGCGAACCAAAGTTCTCTATTGAATACTATCTTTAAATAGTTGTTAAATAAAACAGAATTTAATAATTGCCTTGATTTAGTCGATTTAGAGTTTCAATAGTAAATTAAAGCATGCACTTTTATGTTTTAATATCACTGAAATTATTGAGTGAAAAAGTTTAGTAAAATATCTTAACAATATTAATATTGCAAAAAACTTTCAATAGCATGCAGCCCATTTTTAAGTATAGGCATTTTTTTTTTTGCTTGCTTGCTTTTTTGGCTTGTATTTTATCAGAGTGAAGTCAATTCTGTTTTTTTGGTTGTTTGTAGAGAAATTATAGTCCTGTCCAACCAATCAAATTTTGCCCAGCTACATTTTCTATCTTGCAATTCTGTGTATAGATTTTTATGTGTTTTCTTCCCTTGCCAGTACTTTACCAGCCGCCTGAAGGACCCAGTGAGCACTACATTCAATCAAACAGGAAATGTGACAATGGCTGGAGGTGATACAAGAAATGCCCTGGAGTCAACGTTCAACAATGTGATGACTCTGTGTGCCATGGTCCCTCTGCTCATTTTCACCTGTCTCAACTCATTCATCCACCAAAGGTATAGTTTCAGGTTGATGTCCTCAGGTATTCATGCTTTAATATAGATTACTTGGTATTCTCCTAAGAAACACCAAAACAGTAAATTGACAAAAGTTGAACCTGATTATTAGCAATTAGACCCTAGAACTTGGCATTATACAAGAAAAATCAGCTTTTTAAACATTCTATATTACACAAAACTGACTTTTGAGAGCTTTAAGCCATGTCATTATGTTGTTACGTCCGCAAAAAAATACCAGGAGTTGTGTTTTGTTTCATTCAAACATGTTTTATTAACAGTTTATTATTTGTCTGTCTACATTTCCAAACCTTGTGATGTCACGAAGCAGTAGTCTTCAAATTAACAGCTACCTTTTACTTTTAGTTCAGTTGAGATTGGCAGCTCCAGGGCTGAAATCATTCAGATGATTGTAGGGAAGGTGTATGGAGTTTAAAAACACAGTGGAGTACTTCCTGTATAACTACATGGCATCACAAGGCCTAAATATGCAGTGTTTGTGTTTTAAACATGTGTGAATAAAACAAAACACAACTCTGGGTATGTTTGTGACGAGGAAAGAAAACTAGAACATAGATTTGAAAATTGCGTAATATGGTCCCTTTAATGAATATTAGCTGGCTCTATCTGTATAAAATATGCTTGGCCTATAGAACGGTGTGATGGCATTTGAAACCCAACTCCTTATAGCACGTCATTATTTTTTATTAGATATTTTTATGCATTCACAATTAATTATCATTTTTGGACCAAATCTCAAGCTTGTTTGTGTGTCTGGGTTGGCCTGTTATGCATAAGTAACGTGACCTTATTATGAGAAAAGTCTGTATGCCCTCAGTATATTTGCTTTAATTATAATGGGATTGAGTGAGGTCTAGGTTGGAACCTGGACAGGGATAAACTCTTCCCTTTACAAATACACCTAAGAATTCTATGTAGACTTCCCTCACCTGCTCATATGTACCTAACCTCACAATGGTCTTATACACGATCAAATATATATATATATATATATATATATATATATATAGTATATATATATTTTTATATATGTATTTTTAGTGTTCTGAAGTATCTTATTTCCATTTATGAATGTGATTAAAGATGCCCTATGTAACTTTTCTTCCTCCTGCTTCTATGGAGATGTTGTTGCTAACTCTACAATAGTGATGAAACAGGTGATGTTTACAGTTGCTGGTGAAATTTTTGTGGAGGGGTGACTCCACTCACAGTAAAAATACATGTTGTACAAAGTATTTTTGAGCAATAAAATCGTCCACAAGATAGATAAGTTTAATGCCATACACTAGAATGTTTCAGGATGTTTCATAATATTGAGAGAAGTCGGTTCCAGATTCTCAGCCAGAAAAATCACATAGTCCTCCTATAAAACGATTCCTAAAGAAACGTAACAACTTCACAATTTTAGACAAGAAATAAATGAATCAGTATTCATAACATTTTTTTTTACATTTATCATAAAATAACATAATAAAAGCCTTATGACAAAATGATAGACCTTAACATTCTTGCTCTCAGGGTGTCCCAGAAGTTGAGGATTTTGGGGAGTCTGTCTGTGATCTTTGTTGTTTTCCTGATCACTGCCATTGTGGTGAAGGTCAGCATTGAGCCACTGTCATTCTTCACCCTCACTATGATCAAAATCATCTGCATCAACTGTGAGTACTTCTGTTATAACAGTGTATATACGTTCAGCTTCTCAGTTTTGTATAATTATGTAATGCAAAGGAGAAAGTATGTGTCATGTGAGTCCCCATTTTTTCCCCAAAGCAGTGTTCAGTTGTCTATAATAAGGAATCTTTAAAAGGGTATGAACTATGAATTGACAGACGATTTTTCAGTTGAATTCAAGACATACCCTCTCAGAATCATTTTCAAGATAATGGCCCCAAAAAAGTGCTACAAACAACTACTCATGTCTCTAAATCAAGGGTCTCCAACCTGTAGCTCGGGAGCTACCAGTAGCTCTCCACCCTTTTACAAGTCCAAGTAGCTCACCAAGAAATTTCTGAATTGCACGTATTGAGCCAAATAAGTAAAATTTGATTAAATGAATGCCTACTACCACAATACACTAAATGGATAATGGTTTATTTTTATAGGCATCTAACTAATATATAAGGCTTATAGATACTCAGTTTTTTGTGACCGCTGAAACTAGTAGCTCTCTGGCATTTTTGTTATGTAAAGGTAGCTCACCAGAGGAAAATGGATGGAGACCACTGCTCTAAATAGATAAGTCTGGAAGTGAAAAAACTAAAACTACATATAATTAATCTATGTAAATTACATCTTGTAGTCCACCTTTAGGCATACATCATGCCCTGAAAGAGTGCAGTCACTTATAATTGTAGGGAGATGTATTCTATACCTTTCTTTGCATTGGGTGTATATTTTAGTGCTGCTATCTTCACAAACTATTATTATAGACACATGTGGTTATGAGCAGAGGCCAAATCAGAAACACATTTCCTTGTATCACTTGAGAACAGAGCACTCCCACTGTGTGTTTGTTTGGAGTGAGTGGACACCGCAGGCATAAGCTCACCCCACTTCCCTCCTCTCCTTCTCTGGGTCACTCTGGACCTTCTGATCCTCTCGAGAAACTCAAAGATGTTTGATGAGAGGCAGAAGACACTGTGACCTTGAGGTTTTGATACTGACGTCCACACATTCCAAACAGTGCATTTCAACTCTGAATTAAAGCTACACATTTCAAACTGAACCAAATGAGATTAAAGATGCAACAATTAATGGGTAGGGTCGAGTACTTTGCTGGATCTTGTACATATAAAATGCAAATAAGATGCTCTTTGACTATTAAAGATTCTCAAAGACCAGCTGCAGCTATGTGGCCAAAACATGTTGATGTCCTCTTGGTAAAAGACTTGTACTGTAATTCTTACTTGTCAGAGTGCCTCTGGTCTGTTACCTTGCCCACAAAGTAAGGTGCTTATTATTAGAATAATGTGACAAGTCAACTATTATACAATTATTGTAATTATATTTTGATTCTATTTATTGTTATCTGGACAAAAAAAATCTAAACACATGCCCAAAGACCTTTTATACCAAAATAATATTCTATCAAAATGTGTAGTAATGATAAGCAAATATGCACACAGCTGCACTCTAGTGACCATTGACAGTTTTAATTGTGAGTACATTTGGTAAATTGTTTCAAGTTAAATATAATAGAGGATTTAGCTCACTGTACTCAGCCTTGACATATTGCACACAAACACAATGTAATATTAATATTATATTATATAGTAACACTCTGTTTCAGAACTATGTCACTGATGTATCAATGACATGATACTTTTGCACAGTGTGTGTTGCACAAATATCTGTTGTCTACTGTGGACAGAGAGTTGTACCTATTGGCCTTTAAACACTGCACCTTTAAGAATGTGTCACAGTCTTCTAACACATAGGTGGTGCATATTTGTTTAAAAGGATCGGTTTCCACTAAGAGTAAGAGTTAAGGTGTTAAATAAACATCTCAGTGTATTGATGATTTTGGTCCAGTGTTTTCACTAGTCAGTTATTTAACTTTTTAATTAAACTGGAATCAACTCGTCTTCATTTATCTCTTCTCAGCATTTGGGGCTGTTCTTCAGGGCAGTCTGTTTGGTTTGGCTGGGATCCTGCCTGCTACCTACACCACACCCATCATGAGTGGCCAGGGCCTGGCCGGGACCTTTGCTGCCTTCTCAATGATCTGTGCATTGGCCTGTAGGTGTCCCACAATTATCTTTTTCATCATTTCCTTAATACTGACAACTGTAGTAAGACAAAATTTTAACAAACATCTGTGTCTTTTTATAGCTGGATCAGAATTGCAGGACAGTGCCTTTGGTTACTTCATCACTGCCTGTGCTGTCATATTGTTGGCCATTATGTCCTACTTTGTTCTTCCTAAAATGGTAACATAATCTGCGTACTCTATAAAAACCTAAGTATTACTTGTTATTGGGTTTTTAAGGTTGGTTCAAACAAAGAAATCTCTTTTTGTCAGGAATTCTTTCAATATTACATGGAGAGCCATGGCTCCCATTCATCCAGTGCCGATGAGGAGAACAAAATGGACCTTCTTAAAAAAGGTAAGAGGAAAACTGGACTTTGTAATGTCTAAAACTCAAAGTACAAGAATAAATCAACAATATGCAAAATGTTACATTTGAGAATACATCTTTTCCACTTTGTTGCCTAAGACTACCTGCATGTTTTTCATTTCCCAAATGTCCCATGCATGTACAGTTTTAAGAGACTTAGCAACTCGACAAAAAGTGATTCAAAATGTCTTTTGCAGAAGATTCCACAGAGAAGAGACCAGTAGTGAATCTGACTGAGGATGAAGCCAGGCCCACTGTGTCTGTTGTAAACATCTTTAAACAGGTACATTGCAAACTTTTGATAATTATAATATAATTTCTAGCAGGTATGTAAAATCTGCCAGTTGATTTCTAATTAGCTGTTTTTTTCTCTTTACAGATCTGGGTGATGGCTCTGTCCGTGTGTTTCATCTTCACTGTCACCATTGGGACTTTCCCCGCTGTGACTGTGGATGTGAAGTCCACAGTAGCAAACGGAGGAACATGGGGTGAGTTCAGTATCTGGGTATTTGATTCAAACTGAATTGAAACGTGAGAGTGTGTACTAAAAGTGATAAATTATCTCTACTTCCAGAAACCTACTTCATCCCAGTGTCATGTTTCTTGCTGTTTAATGTGATGGACTGGGCTGGCAGGAGTCTGACAGCCGTCTGCATGTGGGTCAGTGTCTTTTTACATGTATTACCTTGAATGACCAGCAGACGGTATCAAACTTTTATGGTTATAATAGTTTATAGCATTAGAGTTTTTAAGAGTATTGAAAATCTGATGTTAATACTAAAACTAGTACTAGTAAGTATTGATGCTGAAATAACACTAACAGTTATCTTAAGCTTGATCAGGACTAATGTAAGACCTCATGGAATAATAAAGAATTGTATTATGTTGAAAATAAGTCTATCATATAAAAAAATAGCATTTGAAATTGGTGACCAGTATTTCCTCAGGATAAAAATAACTAAGTTTGAAATTTAAAAACGCTAGCATACATAGCAAAGGACTAGGAATGTGCTTTGGTGATATGGTGCAACACAAAATAAGAAATAATAATAGTAAAATATAAACTATGATAAAATAAAAGGCATGTATAAAATTGAGTGTTAGAAATAAAATAAATTGACTAAATATAAACAAAATATAGAAAAGTATATACTATAACTTTGACATTGTTGTGTACTGTGGATGATTTTAAAAAGAAGTGTAAAGCTTATATTTACAAAACAGTGTGTCTAGTTATTTTGCAAAAAAATCTTGTATCATTCCCCCCACAGTGAAACAAATTCAACATTCACAGAATATTATTATCATTTCCTGCAGTCAGAGAAATGGGATGGGGAACAGTTAATGACTGCCTGCCTGTGTAGACTGTCCGAGGTTGGAGTAATTGAGTTGAAAATCTTGAGTGCTTAAGTGAACAGTCATGCAGATAATTGGTCAGCTGATACTGTCTCGTGAGATTTTTTAACCTTTCAACTAGACCAACCACTGACCTGTGTGGGGTCAGGAATGTCTCATTTATACTAGACCTACAAATGAGGAAAAAACTGAAACCCCAGAACTGACAAATTTGGGTTAGTAAATTACAGTTGTATCAGGCCTGCATTTTCTTTCACCTATCTGGGGCTAGGTAGTGGGGGCAGTAGTCTAAAGAGGGACTCCTAGACTTCCCTCACACCAGACACTTCCTCTAACTCCTCTGGTGGGACCCCAATGTGCTCCCTCCAGTGTGTCCTGGATCTTCCCTCCTCCCGGTGGGACATGACTGGAACACCTCCCTAGAGAATAGATCCCCAAGCCACTTCAGCTGCTCCTCTCCACATGGAGGAGCAGTGGCTCTACTCTGAGACCCTCCTGTGTGACTGAGCTCTTTGCCCTAGATAGCACCTAGCCACTTTTTGGAGAAAACTTATTTTAACAGCTGTTTTGACGATAACATTTGAGAGAAGACTGAAATATGAACTGATAATACAAGAATCCCATTCCCATGTATTGCAAAATATGTTTATTCAAACTTGTCTCTCCACAGCCTGGTAAAGACAGCAAGTTACTCCCTGCCCTGGTGATTTTGAGAATCATCTTCATCCCCCTGTTTATTCTGTGTAATGTTCAGCCACGCAAATACTTCCCTGTGGTGTTCAGCCATGACGCCTGGTACATTACCTTGATGATCTTCTTCTCCTTCTCCAACGGCTACCTGGCCAGTCTCTGCATGTGCTTTGGACCCAAGTAAGAACCACTACCATCCAGTGGTGCCACAAATTATAATTATCAAGCTCATTTTGTGATTTTCTGTGTACAGGAAAGTGGCGCAGCACGAAGCGGAGACAGCAGGCGCGATCATGGCTTTCTTCTTGTCCCTGGGTCTGGCTCTGGGCGCTGCCTTCTCTTTTGCTTTCAGGGCCATTTGCTAGAAGCTGGAGTAACTTTCAGTAGTTTTAGGCTAGACTTGCACTGGGAGAACTGATACAACTGGATGAGCTGTACTGCTTTTAAACAGCCGCCAAAGGAAGATTTGGGTGACTTGGGTGCAACAAAAGAAGAGTAGAGATCTGATCCACTCTTCTCAAAGTTTAGACTGTTTTTGCTCAGTCAAAATGGCAACTATACAAGCACTCTGTCACAACTGGACTTCTGATATTTCCTGTGCACATTTTACTATTGCAACAAACTGAAAACCAAGCCAAAAGTGTTATAAATTTCTCCATTTAATTAATATGTATTACACATTTGCCAAAATCATGTAACCAAATGTCACATTCATTCAGAATAGAACATGTCGGAGTTAAACAAACTATTTATCTTTAAGACTGCTGTGTTTCGTTTAAATGCAAATATTTAAAACATAGTAATAAGCTGAACTCAAAAACAAGACTGCAGAAATTATTGAAGAACTTCTGTGCCCTTTTGTAGCAGTATATATTGTATTATATTTTGTTCATAACTATCAAAACAATGAGACACAACTAACATGCAATGTCCAAAGTATGCTGTTTACAATTTATGCTGTTGGAAAATAAGTTTACTTGATTGATTTTTTTTTTATTCAGATAAGTGCACAGGTGACAGTTCTGTTACTGGTAGTGTAAGAATTAAACAGACTCTAAACATATTATGCATACATGTTCATGTCTTGCCTAGGATTTAACTGAAAATATTGTCAGTAATTTCTCAGTATTGACTGAGTTTGAGATGATGTTATAAGACAACTTTTTATTATTTTTTTGTAACTGTTTTTACTTTGGCCATAAATTGCTTACACAGTACAATGCATCACCAGCTGCTGATATGTTAACGTCACATTTTTTATTACAAACACAAGGCCCGTGGTGACACACTCAGTGGGTAAATGCATATTATTGACCATGTCAGTGTTGTGACTAATAAAGAAACGTTTGTTAGAGTCTGTCGCCCTCTGGTGGTCGAGTGTGGCCGTTAATCTGCAGAGTTCACTCGGAGTTGGTTTGTATGAAACTGTAAATATATTAAATCAGACGCTACTTAAAAATACTGATTCTTCGATTGTCAGTGCCTAGCGTTAAAAAATGAACGTTAACCTTTTATTTGAGTTACACAAGATAAATATTAGCCATAAATTATTCTTTAGATAAACATTTTATTCAAAAATAAATTAGCATACACATTTAAAAGGCAGACACACAGTCGTCATTCCGCTCATAATGAGACTCCTGTCAAAATCGCCAAAGCTCGTCTAAGGTCCATCATAACGATAGGATAAAATGAATGTAAACCTACAGCTGCAACTTACCATTTAATAAACTGTTAAGTAGATCAACAAACCGCCTCAGTCAACGATGAACAAACATGTACACAGTTCATTTAAATATTAAATTCAACATACATGCCCATTTTAAGATCACACTGACTGCAGTGAGACTGGCGCTCGAGATGAGTTCAGACAAATATCTGTAATTGTGGTTCCAGTCCATTGCAAGAATTTCCTGAAAACTTTGGATTTACATTAAAAGCATTGATTGTACTTTGATATGAAAAGTAAGTTTTTAACATGAACATTTAGGCAGAATGTCAAACATGAACCAAGGGACTGATGCTTTGGAATACAGTAGTTTTGAACAAGGCAATGGATATATCAATGATGCTCCATTATGTCTATAGCCATAGAACAGTAGCTCTACTTCATGCAGAAAACTGAATACTGGCTACATAAACTACATAAAGATACACATTTGCAAAGGACTTGACTACAATAAAACAAGATGACAGGCTTCAACAGCCATCTTTTGAGTTAAATCTCTATGAACAATTAAAGAGACAAAACAGGGTTTGACTGATAAAACGGTTCAACACCATGACGCAGACATGATCAGTTTATATTCCATTAAGAACATTTCGGTTTCAATCTGAAAAATGCACAATTTTACCCAATTCTTGTGCCAAGTTAGAATTTTAAGATGCAAAAGAAAATTAACTGATCTCTGAACTGCAGCAGTATGTATTCTCAGCAGCTTGATCCCTGAAGTGGCGTAGGCCTACAGGAGGCCCACATGGACAGGTTCTGATGGGACGGGTGTGGCTACATAAGCACTACATCCTTCAGCATGGCACAGTGGACACAAGATGACAGTGCTTCACATTTTGGCAGCTGACAAGTCAGTCCTTCGAGAACATGCACTTTGTGCTCAGAGGCACTGGGGGGCGACATTCAGCAATCCCTACAATGAATCAACTAGGGCAGCACAGAAATGTGCAAACAAGAGGTGGGCTTTGGTGTTTGACAGTTCAGTTTCAGTTGCAGAGGGGAAAGGTGGTGAGGAGTCAGTGAGTCTTTTGCTTTGTTTGATGTGAGCTTGATTCTGCCAAACTGGCTTTGAGGGAGTTCACCACTGTCTGTCGGACATTATCTTCCATATATTGTTCACTTAGTGGCTTCAAAACCTGCAACACAAAAAGCAAGATCAGAAAAAAAGCTGCCAAATATGAGACAGAAAAGTAAAATCAATAAATACAAGTTAAAAGAAAAAGATAAAAGAAACTGAAGGAACCTAAAAATAGGAATAAAAAATGTAAACTGAAATGCCAAACTGAATCAAACCTAAAAAAAAAAAAAAAAAAAGTTACTTTACATGCAGACAGTTTATATAGATTAAAAACCGTTAATGCAGGCTGCATTTTCTGTGGATCCTGAGATGGGCCTGGCCTGCCAGGGTTCATACATTCAATGACAGTGAGTTGCAGAGTTCATCTTTGTCCAAAAATGTTTTGAGAAAGGGTAAAAAGCAGCCAGTAAAGTGCAGAGAGTAGACAGTTTGTGTAAAAGCTGCAGCTAGTTGGTCTTCTTGTAGTTGTTGTTGAGTGGAGACAGTGTTTGAAATCCCATGGCTACTCCTGGAGGAAATGAGGGGAGCAGGGAGATGGGCCAGGCCAGGCGCCTCCTGACCGGTTCCACCACTTTGGAAAAGACCTATTGGGACACCAGGGAGGAGCAGGACAGTTAACACACACAGCTACAGCAGGCATATGCTAGACAGGTACAGAGGGACTGAAATGTGAAAGGACAGAAGATAAAGGGAAAGATGAATTCTGGGAGGAGGACAAAAGAACATGAACTAAAGTGAAACACGACACAGCGGCGCTCACCTTTCGGATGGTCCTCTGTAGAGCAAAGCAAGAGGCAGAGCAAAGGCAACAGACATGAGCACACGTAAAGAGAGTCTTAAGAACATTTTAGAATAAAGCCCATATCAAAGGAAAGCACTGGATCTTAGGACTAAATGCATCTAAAGGTCTAGTCTATTTGCTTTAGTTGTCCTATTACCCACCTGTTCCCACAGTGTCTCTGCCACCTGGTCTATCAAGGTGCCCACCTCCCGGTACTCTCCAGAATACTTGACATAGGCCCAGGCGCACAGAGCCAGCAGGGCCAGCCCCATGATCATGTTCGCCATGGCAGCCAAAGTGCTCAGGCCAATGAAGCCGGTGATCCCAGACACGATGTAGGTCACAAACATCACAGCGAAGAGCGTTGCGGGGGTACGTGCTGCATAGAAGATGTTTTTGCCATCATTATGCTTGGAGAAGTTGACATAGGCCTCATCCAGCTCGCCCTCTAGCTGACTCTGATATCTCTGACAGAACTCATCACCGCCCATTTTCTTCACCGAGCGGAAGAAGCGCACAGAGTGGTCTCGGAACTCTTCATGACAGCGCTCCAAGTCCGCTGGGGCGATGTACGGCTTGTCTCCTCCACAAATCTGAAGGAGTACAAAACTGCATCAGGACTGGCCATAATCACCAGCCAAATAGTACATTTAACTGTTTGTACCTGCTCCATGCTTTTGCTGTACAAATCTTTGGCACCTGCTACTGCAGTCAGATTGTTGGCCTCAGCTGTGGCCTACAGAAAGTACATTTAGGTTGATAGGGCACACATAGGGTCTCCATTTTAATTTTCCACTTGTCACCAAAACCAACCTGCAGCATGGACTTGGGATGAGGCAGCTCCTCGCCTTGGTAGATCTTAATGTAGGCCTTAAAGTACTCCACAAGATCTCTGCAAGTCACTTTGCTACCTCCAATTTCCTTTTCCACCAGATTTTCTGGGGCCAACAGAAGGGGCACAAGCTTGGCCAGCGCCCTCTTAAAATCATCATCGATATCTAAAAAACAGATAAAAGAATATTTGAGTGTACAGCCAATTATGCAAAGTGCATGGCTGTCAGTAAAGTAAATAAATAAACGCTAATGCAAATTTGTGTGATAATGTACTTGAGTAGAGTGCCAATCACTTCACATGTAACACTACAACACTCGCTCACCCTTCAGCCTGCCGTCGAAGTAGGGGTTAGTGGCGACCTTGAGGCCTGGGTGTGGCAGCAGAAAGCAGCCGATGTTGGAGAAGCATGAGTGGATGTGCTTCCTCACATTCTGCAGCTCCTCGTGTTGGTTCTGCTTCACCTAAGTTCAAACACCATAAACACCACAAGGAAAGCTTAATGTCAGTGTGAGGGTGTAAACAGACAATACACACAATCAAATGAGTTTGCACAGAGCAAACACTAGGTGTGGCAGCTGATGCTGAGACAGTAGTTCTTGAACAAGGTTCTTAAAATAGCCCATTAGCAGTAGCACTTAGAGTGAGGGCATTACCTGAAGTCTTTTCTCCAGGAAAGTATTTCCTCCTTCAAGTCCGTAGTCGTGTTCATAAGGATAACTCCAGTCGCGGATGAGAAACATCAGGGACTACAACACAAAATCATTAGACACAGAGCAAAGCTATTGTGAAACCTATCAAGCCATAATCCTCTGCACTGTCTCACAGATGTGATAAATAATTCAATCATGAAGGGCTTACTTGAAACGGTTTTGAGTAGATCTCCTCCATTGCAAGACGGCCATACTCTGTAAAAAGCTGCAAAAAGAAAGAGGAACTTTTAAAAGTGGTAAAAAGAAATATTCAAAGAAAACAGAAGTCAAAGTGAATTATGCTGACCTGTAGATGCTGCAGGTCATCTTCCTGAATGTTCTGGGACAGATTGTAAACCTGAAAACATGATGCGAGACACAGTTTAAACACAGGGCAAGTGTTTAACACGTCACATCCTTCACACTCGTTTTCCTGAGTCCAACCTGAACAGAGCTGGTCATTGTGCTGAGGGCAAACACTGTGGCACAGTCTTTGATGGTGGACTGACTGTCAAAGGCTCCCTGGGTGTCCACGAGGAGCACTGCCACCTGTGCACAAAACACATTTATGAATTAGATCTACACAAAATACACCCAGTAAGTAAAGTCATATAGAGGAGTTGACATCTAGTGCTAACCTTGCTCCCATCTGGTTTCTGCACCACAAAGACTTCACTCCAGACCTGGATTCCTGTGGTTTCCCTCTCACAGCCTCCTCTCCAAGTGAACCCTGTCAGAGGCTCATCATCCCCTCCCACCCACGGCTCACCCTGCTGTTGGATACAATGGAGGCCAAAGACGAGCAATGGTTAAAAATATGTGGTATGAGGGGAATGTCTGGCAGTAAGTGGGTAGTGCACTACTACTAAGACAATTTCATGGTTGCACAGGTCACACAATTGCAGTAACAGAAGCATCTTTGTGACTTGGTAAAATTATTTGCTTAGTTCATAGTCTGACTCTGGTTTTGGCTGCACAGATTAGATAACCACAATGGAGAAGCTACAAACTGTGTGTGAAACTCTCTGAAAACAAATAATTTAAAAGGGCAAATAATAACATGGAAACTAAGCTCAGCAGTATGCATGTAATTACAGTTATAGAAACCCTCATTTAAAACTGCACCGTGTAACTTTTCTGGTGAAGGGTCCGCTACCTGTTTGTCTCCTTGGAGATTACTGCTTTGCTTGGATTATTTCTCAGTATGGAAATAAACTTCTAAATTTATCACTATGGTTTTTAAAATGATCTTGAACCTATAAAAACACCGGTAATCGAATAAATGCAAGGCAGATCTGTTTAATGCCATACTATGGGTTCAATCCATGCAAAGAAATAACATTACTATGGACACAAGCAAGTAGCAGATGCTCCACCTCAGAACTTACATAGTACACTTTTAAGATGTGGGTGATATGTTTGATCATTTGAAAAGCTGCCAGATCTCCTGCTGCTACAAGCAAAAAACTATACTAGTCATTCAACTTTTTAAAATCAAAGTGGAAAGGCAACCTCACATAATAATCTATGCAAAAATGGATGTGGGGTCACAAAGTTAAGAACAGAGTGTACTGCTTAAATCTCAATTTAAATTAACTACTGTCAAACTACTCATGACTTATTACCAGCTCATATGAAATGCTTGGGCCCATTTTAAACTTATCTGTATTAAAATCTTAATTCTTCTTGATACTTTGAGATTCAGAGTATGAGCCCAAACAGGAAGTGCTTGTCTCCACATGCCATTCAACGGTAACAGATGCCAAACGCCTCATAGTTTCCAGGGCACGTGGCGTCATTAAAACATAGTAATGAAGTAGACTACGCCTGCTGGGATGAGTAACTGTCAGTAGTATCCACACCTTGACTGTTCATTTTGAAGTAGGGCAGGGCAATGCGGTGCCAAAAATCGAATCATGATCTTATTCCTGTCACAATATGCTATTTTCATATCATTGCCATATCGTGATACACATAGGCTGATTAAAAAAAAAAAAAAAAAAAGCAGTCAGTATAGACCATAAACATATTAATACTGAAACCAAACCATAAACCAGAATTGTCCACAAAAAATATTGTAAATGTAAGACACTGGCAAATATTGTTGAGCTGTATAAATAAATAGTAGAATGCAACACTTAAGTAATTTGTTTGTGTAACTTTAGTTCGTTAGACAAAATCGAAATCGTCATATGGCTCCATTAAATCGTGAATGTTTTCAGGCATATCTCTCACCCTAAGACCAGAATAACCGTCTCACCTGAGTGTGCATGTAGCGCAGCATGAAGTCCAGCAGGAAGGACTTGCCCTTTCGAAACGCCCCGGCCACAGACACCACCACCACGTTCAGATCCTTCACATCGTCCTGCAGCAGAATCTTCTCCAGCGCCACAGCATCCAGCTCAAAACTGTGCTCGTCCTCATTGGCCAGGACAATCTGGATGGGCCGTGCCTTCTCTTCCTCCACAACCTAAAAGTGATGTTTGCAACTTGTCATGCATGATAGGGATTTGAGAAAAAGATCTAACTGCTAATTTCCTTAGTACAATGTATGTTTAACAAGTAGTGTTGTGTTTAGCTGCTCATTTCAAACATATAGCATTAACATTCAAGGGAAAACTGAAACATGAACAGCAGTTCCATGCATTTCAGAACAAGAGTTTCAGTAAGACTACTAATAAAAAGGCCCATATTATACCATTTTCTGACCTAGTAAGTTATGTTGTTTCCTCGTCACAAACATAAATGGAGTTGTGTTTTATTCACATATTTTTAATGCACAATACAAGCAGAAAGTGCTCCACTGTGTTTTAAACTCCAAACTCAAAAAGGTAAAAGGTAGCTGTTAACTTGAAAATTGCCACTACATGACATCACAAGTTGGAACAGAGCATTTTGAGCATTGGAGATGTAGACAGACTAATAATAAAAGGATTACTCAAAAGTGAGAATGAAACAAAACACAACTCCAGGTATGTTTTTGGGCAGGTAACAGCATTCTAAGATGGCTTAAAGTGCACAACAATCAGTTTGAGTAATATAGGACCTTTAAGGTAATAGTCCTCTGTAAACAACTATGGCCTCTGATTATTGTACCTGCTCAAATTTTCAATTTAATTGCAGCATACTGTCTGCACATTATGTGCACTACCTGTTCTTCTTGGATTTCTTCATCTGCTGAGGTGAGGACATCATCAGCATCAAAGTCTGGGATTAGAGTGTTTGTCTGTGGAAGAAATTCATCCTCCAAGTCTTCAGGTTTGGCAAGAGGAGGCCTCTGCTTGGCGTGAATGATTGGGACATCCTGCACTCCCCTCCGTCCTAAACGCAAACAGAACAGCAGTTAAACAAGATTGAATGGCACTCCATCTTATTTTGTTGTGACCTATTTTTCATTTACAGGAGCTCTATAGTATGATGGTCACACCCATATGCTGTAGAATACCTGAAGTAGCCTGAGAGTTATAAAGAAAGGCATGAGACCTGTCGAACACAGGAGAAGTTTATTAACCATCAGTATGAGACTCAGAGACATGAACACATTGTGGTATTATTGTCCATTCTGGCTATGCTTCCATCATAGGAAGTATTACAACCTATAGGTCTGTAGTCGACAAATTCTTGGTCTATTAAAGACACGTGCTGCACATCTAATAAATGGATTAAGTGTTACTGGCAAAAGCTCTCAGAAATTATTAGGATCTCACACAAAAGCAACTGTGTATACAGTACACACCTCACTAGTGAAAGAGTGATCAAACTGTTCATACCTAAACTCCAGCTGACTCACTCCATGCATCCACTGTTGTGCTTATAAATTCTGATAACCCAAATAAAATAATTAGTTGATTACTAAATGACTCTAGCTCTAATAACCTCAGACGGCATTGGCCAGATAACAAGAACTGGGCTGGAGGTGTTCTTGATAGATAGTGCAATTTTTCAGTCACTGTATAATTTTGCAATTATGAGGCACGGAAACTCAATGGGAAATTAAATGTTGACTTTACTTTAGGGAGTGTCTTTTGTGTCTTGAGTGTTATGAGAGGCCTAAATGAATGTGAGCTATCTGAAGAACTGAGGGATAACACAGATGTGCCCAAAAACATGTAATCAATACCATACCAACAAAATGGATTCCCTCTCACTTGATCTCTTGTTGTGTTATCTGCATATATGAGGTTGGACCTCACAGACTGGATAAAAATAATACAAGTGTCCTGAGCTACATTCAGTCCCACTGCGGTCCCATCTGCCCATCTGGGTCAGGCTCAGAAATAGAGCTGTGCCACAAAACCACACAGGATGAAGGGCATGAACTACTTCTACTACACAATGAGGGGGACAATGCTACTGCTCAGTAGGGTTGAGAATCACAGGGCGACTTACGATTCAGTACGATACACGATACATGTCTCATGAAACGATATTATCACAATATGGCATGACATGCACCAATTGATATACTGTGCATTATACTCCAAATACCAAATACATTTAGCAAATCACTGTTTATGTAGTTTTCTTCCTCTAAATAAGCAACATAATCGCAGTCACAAAAAAATTCAAAAACTAATAGATAAAAAAATAAAATAAAATTCTCTTGGCGATACATCGATACAGTAACCCACAATAATGTTACTGTTCAGTGAAAGTGTGCCGTTTATGATCCAGATCCATTGCCTTGGGAGCAGACTGGGGCCTTACTTCCTGTCTGTCTGGAAACATGGCAGCACTTGAACTGTGCACTACAAGCTCCAACAAACAGATAGCAGCAAACGAATCCAAGGTTCATTGATGACACCATTTAATTCTCCAGAAACCACTCAACTATTGATGACTCACCAATAATGATTCAATAATAACATAGGCACTGGATCTCATGCCATTTTTCCAAATATGTACTAGCATAACTGTTAGTAATATTATTCTACTCCTTTGAGGACTTTTAATATTTTTTAAAACTTATATCCAGGCATTTCCCTGTGGAATTTGAGACCAGTGTGTTCTTAAGTTTAAGTCATATAGAGCATTAAGTACCTTGTTTGAAAATATTTTTGGACACTAAACAATTATGGTGTTAACAGCTATGGTAGTGCAGTGTTCCAAGTAATGCTACCTCAGAACTATTTAACGCCTCATAAAATTAAGGCAATGACACACACAACGAGTAATACTACTTCTCGTGTTACTCATCTAAATTCTTTTGATGAGAAAGTACTTTTTTCTCCCATTTCCCAGCAATGTAATATTTGCCTTTAAACTGCACAAACAAGTGACAGAACAGTTTATGCTGTAAGTAGGACATGCAGCACTGTCCCAAAGGGCTGTTGTCGGGCTGCTGGAGTCTGAATACCTGCCACTTGTGTGGAACATATATTGAATCTGCCCACCCTGCATAAGAGAACTTTAAAATCACAATGAGGACCCAAGGAGGTGAACAGAGAGCCCTTATAGCTTCCATTATACACTTACACAATTAATTATGAAGCAGCTAATGTACAAGCCATTCCACTGGCTCCACAGAACAGGGCCAGGACTAAAATTAGCCCCTTACTCCTTATCTTACAGTGGGCAGCGCAGATGTTCACTGGCCCACTTGTGTTGCTCTTTGTGTACACTAGACAAACTGCTTTGTGTCTGACACCTGCCTTTGGAAAAGCAACAGTGAATACAATAATTTAAGTCCACATTGGGTTACAAGTCGTTTACAAGACCAGGCCTAAAGCAACCATTTTAATTATATTTATTCAGATAAAGGTTCTGTATATCGATCCATCACTGTAGAAGCTACTCTTAACCAATACTCTTAACCAATAACCAACTATTTTTCTTATTTAAATCACCTGCCAAGGTGCCAATGTGCCATGTGCATTGAAATCCCTCATTTTGGGAAGTGGGTACTGTGGACAGTAAAATAATTTACAGCTTTTCAGGTCAGTACAAAGTGACCAAAAAATTTATGCAAAGGCATGCCAAAAACAAACAAAAAAATTAATTATGTTAGAAAGTAAATAAATAAATAAATAAATAAATAAATAAATAAGTAAAATAAACCATGTCTACTTTAAGATTTGAAGGACAGTGCTCTCTCTGCACACAAGTCAAAGGAAGGCAATGGTTCCACAACAGAAATGACCAATCAGGAGGCAGACTGATGGGGACAAAGTGCAGCTGAAGAGCTGTGAATGTTGTGCTTGTATGTTGCTTCAGACTCGGGGTCAGGTGGCCAGCATTTCACTACATAAGACTATTACGACTGAGTCAAGAATAAACAGTGATGTGTGCTCCTGGTCAACATATGGCTTGTTCTTTACATGTGCTGGAAAAGTTTTTAGCTAAAGGTCCAATATTTAGCAAATCTTGTGAGCTTTAAACCATCAAAAACATACACAGAGTTGAGTTTTGGCTCATTCACACATTTGAGTAAATTTTTATATTAGTGTGTCTACATCTCCAAAACTAAAAAATGCTCTGTTCAACATTGTGATATCATGAAGCTGTTGTTTTCAAGTTAACAGCTAAATTTTACCTTTACCTGCAGAGACTGGCAATTCCAGGACTGAAGTTATCCAAATGATTCTAGTGAAGGTGGACAGTGGAGCTCTTCCTGTATTATCACAGGACATTGTTCTCTCAAACTGAATACAAGAGTGTTTTCAGTTTGAGAGAAGAACACAGCCTAAATACACAGGGTATATGTGTTAAATAAAATGTAAATGACACAAAACACAACTTCAGATATGTTTTGATGAGGAAACAGCATTATAATGTAGAACAGAAAGTGGCGTAATATGGGCCCTTTAATATAAGTGTAATGGTTCTGATTAGAAAATAGCACTTGTAATGATTTAGGCTTTAACAAAAATCATAGAACACTCATTAATGTATAATTAAATAATACCCATGTGCTCAAAATCTAGGAGGTTAAGAAGTGTTACTCAAATCTAGTTGAATGGTAATGCAATTTATAAAGCTGAGGTCGTGAAAACAACACGTGCGGGGACGGCTGCATTTCAGTTTGAAAGAGTCCGGTAACCAAACATGCTCTTCAGCTGCAACAGCGACTGTACTTTAAGAGACCAATAATAGTCCATTTATATATATCCACAAAGAGTTTAGCACGTTGAGCGGATTAACATGTACACACAGCATAGTACTAGTAATGAGTGGCATAAGGATCACCCAGGCAGAAAACTAGTGTAACGCACGTTGTTTCAAAGTTCACACTCCTGACAGAGCAATATGGGGCTTTTGTTGACACTGACAGCAAACTATGGGTTAGTTTTAGAGATAAAGAAAGACTGTTAAGCTTTTGTAAACAGTGAAAGTCGCGATCAAGACGCCAAAGAAACAGGTGTTGTGCAAGAATTTGAATCCACTGTAAGAAATAGACCCCCTTTGGAAAGTGCCAGTTTGGGGACGCGTAAAAACAAGGCACATCTTTTACCCAAACCTGCTTATTCTCCTCTCTTTTATTAGTTTTCCAGGAAGATCTCTCGTCCCTGAATCTGAAATGAACACTGAATACGTGTTTTGCAGAGTTGCCGCATTTGGCCGGACACCGGGGTGCACACATAGGCTAACGGAGAGAAAGAGACAGAGTTTGGCATTGACAAAAACCGAGGCGGCGAACGCGTGCCAATCTGAACGGTAATTCTCCCTCGCGGCTCGATCCGAGGACGCGCGAGTATAATAAAGCTTTCCCGGTTAAAGAAGAGTAGTTTACCTTCGCCGGGGACTCGGGATTTACAGTTGGACTCGAAGTGATTTCTGCTCCTCAGCCCGCTCACCTCCGCCATCTTGGTCTGCTGCTCTGGTGCGGCTGACGTCAGAGCTGCTTATTTCTCTCCCTCCTCGCGGTGCGCAAGTTCAGGGCGCCCCAGGACTCGGGTAGGCTCTCATACACATACACTCTACGGGTAGGCTTTAGTATTTAAGTGCATGTTATCTGCAGTCAAGTACAACGAGCTAACCATTCACTCATGCCCACGTTTTCATAAGTTGCCTTAAAGTTACATTATATTACGCCAAATTGACTCTTGTGCGTTTTAAGCCATGTTATAATGTTTGTTACCTCATCAAAATCATACCTGGAGTTGTATTTTGTTTCACTTACTGGTGTGACCAATCCTGCAGTATTAGTCTGTCTACAAGCTCAAAATGCTCTGTTCCACCTTGTGATGTCATGAAGTGGTAGTTTTCAAGTTGACGGCTACCCTTTACCTTTTGTTTACCTTTTGAGATGGGAAATTTCAGGGCTGTAATCATCCAGATTGTTCTAGTGAAGGTCTGTGGTGTTTAAAAACACAGTGGAGCACTTCATGTATTACCACATGACATCACAAGGTGGAACAGAGTGTTTACTGTTTGAGAAAAGAACATAGCCTAAATATGCACAGCCAAAACACAACTCCAACAACTCTATGTTTTTAATAAGGAAACAACATTATAGCATAGATCGGAAAATAGCATAATATGGACCTTTTAAGGAATGTAGCTACTATTTGCAAGAAAATAAAGGAAACCTGCTTAATTGAATATTGCTCAAACATTGCTCAAATTTTGTGCTCATAAAGGAAGGGTATGTACAATTTTTATTTCAAATTGCATAAACATGACTTATCTGTGTGCCCCCAGACACAAGGTCAACTTCAAATCAAATATACTTTTATAACAATTGAACAGGCTGATTTATTCTTAATTAGAAAACACTGTATGGTCAAGCTGTTAATGCTGTCCATATGGTGTTTTAGTTCTCACGACAGTTGTCCAATCAGGAAGTAGTAATAAACCTCACATGACTCAGATCTGAGTTACCAGTTCCTGTGTCAAAAACCAGTTGGGAAGAAACCTGAAATGACTCATCTGAATCCTCTCTGCCTAAAGCCAATCATTAATCGTGCTAGTGCAGCCTCTGCAGCTCAGTGCATGAGTGCTGAGTGATTTCTGGAAGTACTAAGCTCAAGCTGAGTCATGGTCTGTCCTCCTCAATAAGCTGCCAAAAGCTCTGGCAACCCTAGTTCAATTATGATTGTAGTTTCATTTTTAAAACAACCACAGGCTACATACTCTCCCTTTTACAGTTACTAATGAGTCTAATATTAGGCCTTTATTTTCAGTTGGATATAAAGACACCCTCTGCACATGCAAAATGTCCAGGCTTGTTTTCTTTAGCTCTAGTTTCACACATGCAGGCCTGTCTAAATGTAGTTTTGAAATCACAGTCTCCTCATATTACTAGACACAAAGAATTTGTGATAGAAATCTGGGAAACACTGTTAATTTCCTGAGAGTTTATTTGAACATAATTACAGAGCTGCACTGTTTTTTTTAACAATCCCAAAGAAAACTTGAACCTGGCCTCTGTAAGAACGTAACATCCTGAAATATTGTGACTTAAAAGCACATTACATTATCTGTTTGCATATGCATCTTGTGCTGAGATATGCTGTCCTTTAGTCCGTTGCGTTTATGATGTTTTAATTACTTAACTGATATGGTTTTCTAGATAGCCAAATCAAATGCCATAAAAGCAATTCATAAGTGGATCCACTTACTTACACTTGAGTTTTTTCAGCTGTTCATGTCTTGACGTTTAAAACACCTCCATACCTCCCTTGAGACTGAGGGTAAAAAGCAGGTGAAATATATGTGTTTACAATCTCATCAACTTGTTTCCTCACTGTGACACGTTTAACGATAAAGATTCTATTCTGTTTGAGACCTTATTGACTGTACTTTAAGTAATAGCATACATGTGGCCCTTTTATGAGCAGTAAAGACACTTGTAGCAGTGAGTTTGCAGCCCTAATGGTTTTGCATGTTTACATAGGCCTCAGACAGTAGCATGTTTGCATTTCCTGCAGGTTAACTAAACCCAGTGTTCAACAAGGGGCAGGTAAAGTAAGTGGCAAAAACTGTGACCTTGGTCTATATTTTGCTGTCATCAGTCGAAGATAGTTGTATGTAAACAGATGATAAGTTCAGAGCTGCTCCTAAATAACCCTGGGTATTGAGCTCGCCGTGCAGAGACGGCTGTGATTGGACCTTTGAACATTCCTGGATCAATGCTTTCTCCCAGGGACATCCCAACATATCCAGAAGATCCAGCACCAGATTAGCTGTGACATTTAGTACTAATACGTTGTCTTCTGTGTGTTTATGTCAACAAACAGAATTCTATTGATCTAATATTTGTCTTGTGGTGCTTTGAAAGTATTAAGAAACAGGTTGCACAAAAAGTTAAACCAAATTTCTTGAGACACACAAAGAGAATGCACTGTAAATATTTCAGTGTATATTGTAAAATGATGGTGTCGTGTGAGAAGTGTGGCCATGTTAATCTATGTCACTGCTGTCCTATTCTTAGCTCGTCCCATTGGCCAGCAGAAATATGAGATGTAGAGCTCTGATAATTTTAGAGTATGGCTCAGGAAACAGTGGCCAAATGAGCCAACCAGGAGCAGACTCCAGATGTTTAGGCTATGTCATGTGTTTTCATGTGTGTTTTATAGTCTATAGATTGTTAAAGATTAACTTACTTGAATGCATTATGTTTTTATTTATTTGCTTTAATATCAAACTTCTTTAGGCCTACTTTACTTGTCTAATCTTATTATACTCCCATGTTTGACACTTGACTTGAAATTCCATCCCACGTGACCAGCAGGAGGTGACATTTTAGTAAAGAGCTCACTCTAGTGGTTCATAGACGACAACGCTTTACTTTTGAAAAGCAGGAACACAATATAGTTCAAACATACATACACATACAACTAATACTGATATATATCACTTATATTTACATTTAAATTATATAGAGAAATATATAATTGCTCCCTATAGTAGTAGTAGAGAGTTGATTATGGATGTGATAACAATTGTACCCACAAAGGGGCACTGTTGATCTGTGCAAAAAAGTTTCTGTGTTCTTGTCCTCTAGAGATTTCATTATGAAATACAAAAACGAACTTTTAGTGAATTTGCCAATTATCGTTATTTGTTTTATGTTTGTGTCAACTGTCAGCACGTTTTTTCCTTTTTCTTTCTTTTTTTTTTTTCTTTTTTGTAAGTAAATCCTTGTTTACAGTATCGTTATGTCGCTCCCTGCCACCACAAGGGGGCAGCATTTGCTAACCCAGGTTCCTCATCAGTCTACTTTCTTTTTCAGTTCCTCAGAGACAGGTGAGCTGCACGATGGTCGCGTGGATCTGCTAAAATAACAGTTTGTTTTACACACATTAGCGCGGTATGATGTTTTTTACGCATTAAAATTATGCCTGCACATTGGTGTAATTATACATACTGTAAGCACGTTGATTTAAATGTACTTTTTGCCATTTTGTACTTAGTGCTAACCTCGAATCCAAGAAATCTAAACGGTTGCCTAAATATTTTGTTCCTTCATTATTTCTTGTCTCAGTTGTCTGTGGTGTGAGCATCGGTCTTAGAAGTTATGACAATAGGCCTACTATTAATTTTAGTTGGCCTAATGTAGCTCTATAGGCTAATGACATTCATATTTATTGTAGGCTTATACTCTGTAGGTTTTTCTAACTGATTATTACTTTATTGACTGACATATTTGTGTGTGCATGGTTACCTCTTTGTGCTCTGGTATTATCTTGTGATTTAAGCCGTCTGTGTTTTGTGTGTTCAACAGGTTTATTGTCCCACTCTGCATATGTTGGGCTCGTGGTGCTGAGGCTGGCGCATTGTTGCTGGTTGTCATGGCGCCTGACCGTGGTACATCATGTCAGAGGCATAGACCGTATATCAGAGGCATAGACCGTATATATACTTCTTTACACAGTCTATGGTCAGAGGCTGTCACTGATCGAGAGGACAGTCCCACTAGAGCTAAGGCACGTGGAAACCGGTAATGTCTGAATACTAGATGTGGTCTTATGAGATAAACTTTTACTGGACAAATTCATGAAGTATACGCAAAGGAAAGTACATAAGAAAAAACAGAAATAGCTCTACATTCAACTAGGCCGTTCACTGTGGTAATCACAGCATGCCCTTCCTTATCACTCTGACAAAACTGTTAATTTTTATTTATTTGTTTTTATTTACTTAAAAATAAGTCTATGTTTAATGCCCCAATTATTTAATTGTGGTTAATGCTACATAACTGCCAGTAAATGGGTCTAATTTCCGTGTGTTAATAATTGTTTATAATTATTTTAGTATAACAGGTAGTAGTTAAATATTGTTCTAATCTTGTCGCTGTTGATAAATGACACCAGGCAGGGGACAGATTCTTTCCTTTTAAACTCTCAGGTTATCATTGTAATCCTCTTTAATAGTTAAGCCTTCACCTCTCCACCCTGCTGCAGTGGGCCAGAGCTGGTGCCTCGGGGCAGTGGAGCCTTTGGGCGTGAAAGGGAAAAGCAGAGCAGACAGTGAGGCCAGGCGGGCAGCACACGGCAGCAGGGAGCCTCATCACTCTCTCCACACTTCTGCTGTCACTGCTTTTGTTCCTGTGGCATTACTGTGGCACGGACACAGGCTCCCAGGTAACTCCAGTGCTCAGCCCAGAGCATAAATGTACGTACATACATGTATATTTATACATGCACATTTATATACACTCATCAGAATGACAAAACACATGAAGACAGACTAATCGTACAAGAAACATAATGTTAGAATTTTTTATACACGTCAAACGACAGGGGAAAAATAAATTCATAATATTAAATGCATCATAGAATATGCACATATGAAGCCATAACAATTTTCCTTATTATCTTATGATGTTAAATATGCAAGACATTAAGTTTTCTGCATCTAGCAACTATTGTTTAAGTGTAATTACTTCACTTAAGGTGCTGTTGAAAAAAG